TGATAAAATGAGGAGTGATACCGTTTTGGAGGTGCTGACTTAAAATTACTGAAAAACAATTTTCTGTTAAAAAAAAAAAAAGGGGCAAAATCCAGAAATATAAAATAAAAAAATTACAAAAACCTTTTTTTTTTTTTTTTTTTTTTGAAAAAAACCTTGTTTTTTGACAACCAACACCGACCCCAAGAGTTTGGTCTCTACTTGCTTCTTCAGACTGGTTCAGGCTGATGCAACATCAATCACAATGTACAGAACAATAAACATAAATAAGGACCCGGATTGACAAAGAGCTCAAGTATTAAAATAAACCTTTCAAAAAGGTTCAATGGCCATTGGTTCCAAATGACCCTTAAAATTCTAAGGGACGGGACAAGAGCATCTATACAACTGCAAAATAAAGTAGTAATGCTAATAGGTCTTATACACAAACAATGGCGTGAAAAACTTAAGTTGTGCACATTTAAATGTTCGCTTCTCATGTTATACATAAATCTGTCCCTTTAGCTCCAGGTTTTGGCTGCGTTGCAAGCTGTATCACATAAAATTTTTAAAAATGTTAAATCATCATACAAATGTTATCTTTAAAAATATTAACATCGGCCATTGAAACATAGACCCTATGATTTAGTGACCAAATAATAATTCAAATAACATACACATAAGGATGACTACAAAACAAAAGAATTATCAGAGATGAGGAGAGAAGAAATGATTAAGGGGATAAAATGCTTTTGAATAAAGAAGCTATGGAATGGGAGAAAGGTAGAAAAGATGACGGAATTTCGGTTCTTATACACATGGCATCTTATGTATTGAAGATATATTGATGCATTTGGACCACAAGGGTCTGGTTTATTCACCAAAAGATGCTATATTTATAAAAACCAGAAAGCAGAGATCACAAAAGGCCAAACTAATATGAAGCCAGAACCCCCGGCACTATATCTATAAATCAGTTTGACAGTGCATGCTTTCACTGGACAATAAATACATATGCATGTCTTAACCTTCGGCCCTGGTGCAGTGACTTTGGGCAAGGCTAAAGGACAACAGACGGTTTTAACTTTAGACCTGTTACAAGACTCTCTCATACCTAAAAGAAGGGGTCATGTAAATCATAACCATGATGGTTATCATTATATCTTCCAAGTAGCCAAAACTACTTTCCTTAAACCAGGTTCTATAAGCATTCACCACTGAAAATAGACAGAATATCGAAAACAAAAGGAAAATAGTGAAACATGTACCAGTAAAGGCAAATAATGATATATAAATATATGTGTGGTGTGTGTATGTATATGTACATAGCTGTCTTCCTCAGAAATTAGAATTAATGTCTACAAGGTCTGCAAGTAACGAAAGATACCAGTCCAGATTTAAGAAAAAGTTTAAACAATTATACAGCCACTCATCTATACATTTCCTAATAAAGTGAAACTGTTAAATGAATTGCACTGGAAACAAATATATAATAAACCAGGGCCGGAAAAAGACAAGCACAGCACAAAAATTGATGGCTAATTTTTCCTAAGTAGATGTGGACATTGGTGACAAATCCAAGAGAAAACTAATTGTATGACCTCATCTGGCAAAAGCAACAACTGAAATAACAACCAAATATGATCACAATCCACTTAAAGACATACTTTATATAAGTCCCCAAGGATTAGAACTGACGCATTAGAACCAAGGATTGACATACTTTGTCCAGTTTTACTTTGCTGACTTGTATTTCAGCAGTAACACTTAATTAGCCCAAGCTAAGATCTTTTCTGCAGGGAACTCCAACACGCACCATTAACAAAAAAGACAGGCAAGTTCTGACATAAAAGTGGTTTAAGAATATGTTATTAAGTTTAATTGTTAGAGGGTATTGTGTTCTATTCTTATTACTAACAAAAGACACGTAATTGACAAAAACAAAATTACATTTAAGGTATGACAAGCCCCTTGTTGATTTTGTCTAATTACTATAACTTCTTAACAATATTAGTGGAAGTTCCACATGAAAAAGATTTTCTTATTATTAGGTATTACAATATACTTTAAACCAAACAATAAGGAAGCACAGTGAAAAGGAACCAAACTAAAAAGGTGTTTCATGAATGTCATGTTATACCAAAGATAAAATTAAAACTGGGTGTAATATTTAAATAACAGCATCAATCTGATTTTGAACTGAAAGTGCTAGCTTTGAACTCTAATTATCAAAGGCATGATAGTAAATTAATAAGCATATACTGTGCCAGCAGATTCTATTGAATGCAAACTATGATTGCTAAAGGAAAAAAGGGCATGCTATGCTTTGAAAAGAAATTGTTGACTTATGCTACTAATAGATGACCAAGACAGAAACTCAAAACAATATGACTTTGCTAGGGACCCATGTTTTATGTTCCCTTGTCCCCCTCCTATCTTCCCAGAAACAGGGGGAAAAAGAAATTGAACTTCAATTCTGTTGCTGATCTAACTTCCCTCAGAATGGCAGTATGGGATGCCTGGCACTGAAATAGAGATTTTTGTAACATTCTGTTGCATCTGTCACCAGCTACTTATTTTGTTTTAAAAAAGCTGACAATGGCCACTTCACTCTAAAGGCTGCCAGGAGAACTGAAGTTAGTTACACTATCTCTGGTTTGCATACTGATTCACCCAGCCATAATGCAAGTATTTAAACTCTAGGATGCAGACAAGGAAGGTTTATCTGTATTACCAACGATTCTATTATAATCATGAGTATTTAGGAATTAATTTGACATATAATGTAATTTAGTAGGTTCAATATTTTACATCATTAGGATTTGATTTTAATATTCACACAAAATTTGATATCTTTTAATAAAGATTCCTATTCCAATTAGGGTTTTAGCTTTTCCATATAAGCCTAGTTTGTATTAGGGTTTTTCAAAGTTGAATATGAATTGAGCCATTACTCCTCCGAAAAATATAAAATTCTGCTGTTCTTTTCTCAACTTTGCCTGTTTCCTCTATTTATCTTTCTTGTTCTACATCACCCTACCCACTCAAATGCTGAATCCTATCTTGTTACAATAGAGTCAGAAACCATTCATTGTAATATGAATCTGTGCTTAAAGGTTAATTTAATGTGTATTCTCTGTGCCTAAAGGTTTTCGTTTTTACTTTTATGGGTCTTCCCCATCTTCTCATCTCTTCTCTAATAAGCTTTTATATTGTTCCCACAATAAAAGCATATTCCACCTCCTCCATATATGCTTAATTTGGAGATACACCAGTCTGTTAGTAGCACGACACACTGATATGCAGACAATACCTCCACCTTTTTCTTGTATTTGATACTTGAAATACTAATTCAACACTTCCCAGGTGGAGCAACTAAACAGAAACCTAGCTGGAACTAACCTTGGAGGGAAAATTCTGACCTAGAAACTAACCTTTAAAGAGTTAGGTCCTTCATTTGAAGTAAGTCAGGTGTTCTATACCTCTGCACAAACTATTCTGTTAAAACTTACACCCAAGCCCAAAGCAGATAGATGTACTCTGCTTCCACCACATACATGACAGTTGTGGAATAGGTTTTGCATTTTTAACATAAAATGAATCTTGACAAGTTATATACTCAAAATATTAAAACACTGAACTTGAGAATCTATAACCTATTCAGCCATTCCCAATGGAAATTTACAATTTGAAGAAATAAACCTCATACTCCATCTACTCTGGTTGCTTAGTAATATTATCATGATGTGTAAACTACATATTATTTGCATAGAAACAATTTAAATCTGTTTGATAAGATATATAGAATATTATGAAAATTAACAAATAATTCCATCCTAAATTTAACAAGATCCCAGCCAGAACATTCCATGCAGATTCCAGACTAACAGTTGGTCTTTATATGAGATAGACCACCTTCAAGATTGACCACTAAATGTTTCAAAGAAAATACTAAGTACAACCTTCTATTGAATGTAAAAAGAAGAAACTAAAAGGGAACTAAAATATCATAGTAACTATACAACATGAAACACTATAAAAACAATAACCACAGCACATACACTACAATACTAAACTGAGAATATATCACCTTATTATACATTCAACATGCACAGGTATCCGTATGCTTTATCTAGAGCCAAACCCCTTAACATAACAACCTCATTATTCATTCATATTAGTGCAAAATCCTAACCATACTCATTCTCCATCCATTATTTTCTTTATATTTATGTCTTTTCTTTTTAATTTCAACTTTACACAGGCACTTAACCTATCATTTGGTCGTTGAAAGAAAATACTGAACAAAATTATGAATGGTGATAATTAG